CCCCAAAACCCCAAAACCCCAAAACCCCAAAACCCCAAAACCCCAATTTTAAGGGAGATTATTGATTAGACCAAAATTATATCAAAAGCCAAATCATTTCTGAATCACACCATCATAAATTAATTCTCGATCAAGGGCTCTTCTGCCTTAATAAATTGGTTCCTTCTGTTGGTAAGTGACTTCATATAGTTCTCATTCTTTTTCAAAACAAATTTGACATCATCTGGATAAATGATAGTGTAAATAAAGTAGAGCAAAGAAACTCCAAGTGTCATATAGATGAAAACACTGTAAGTATACATTTGATTATGGAATCTGAAAGTATTGATGTTGTCGAAAAATATAACATTCCATGCTGACTCTGCGCCAGCTTCCGCGATGATTCTCTTGAAAGCCTGGATCAGTAATTGAGTGATAGCAGCTGACCATAGATTTAGCAAGAACACATTATAGCAAATATTGTTGTATAAAGTCTCTCTTGGAGACATCGGAGCATATGTATAAATCACAAATCTAATTCCAAGTTTATTGTTTCCATACCATGCGCAGTAAAGAAGATAAATCGAGATTACTAGAATGATTGCAGTTGAGATTGCACCCAGGCCTACTGTTTCATCACTAAGATTCCTGATAAGTAAGCTGAGGAAATCATACGAGCATCCAGTTTGATCATCTGGATGTAAAATTTGTCAACCCAAGATTTGAACGAAAATTGCAATATTGAAAAGAATTGCTAAAATTCCAAGTATCAATTTGAAATAGTAGAATATCGGCTCAATATACTTGTTAAATTTAGATAATTTAACCAGTCTGATGTACTCTTTCTCCAGAATAAGAGTTTTGCAATGAATTGAGGCAACTTTACGAGTCAATCTTGAATCATTCCACCATCTTTTAAAATATTTCTCATTATTTATTTTAATCCTTTCATCTAAAGCGTCGTTACATCTTTTTCTGAGTAAGAGAAGATTATCGAGAAGGATCTTTTTGCGAGTTTCAAATTCTGCCTTCTGAATCGGCTGAGGTCTTTTTACAAACGAATAAATAAGATCAAAAGGAACAGCTACAAATCCAACACCGAGTGAAAAGAATAGTAAGAACCACCCCACTATCATAAAGAAGCCAATTACATAATATGTGAACCCAGAGTCAACTTTAAAGATGAAATATGTTGTCACTATGAGTAGAGTGATGAGGATAAAATAAAGAAAGCATTTGAAGAAAGCCTTTCTTATCCTAAAATAGACCGATGTTTCCTCGCTTGTCTCATAATAGAATGTTGAGAATGGCAGAATAATGAACAAGAACACACCCAGAGTGATATAATACACACTAAATAGAGTTTCAAGAGGGAGCTCGCCATTACTGTTTTTGTTGGCAATATCAAGAGATATAAAGAACTGCTGTAGCATTCCGAATAATATGATAAAGATTGTGTAGATCCTTGTCAACCAATTCTTGGCAAATTCCTGCTCCTGGGAGTGAGAATAGTATGCAAATAGATACAAGCTTGCAATGAATCAGAATATCGGAGTAACTATCACAAATATCAGAAGTATCACATCCATTTGTAGTTATAATTATTACTATTAACTTGACTTTTATTGGGGTTTTGGGGTTTTGGGGTTTTGGGGTTTTGGGG